GGCGTGAGTAGGTTAAACGTTGAGTTTTATAAGGGCACCACGGGGTGACCAGCCCCTCCCCACCCAGCCCCTCCCCACCCACAAGTTGTATGGTTAATGCTCACATGATTCCTTGTAAAAAGGTTTCAGTTTTGTTGCCAGAAAAAAAGGGGAAAAACCCTGTTATTATATCTACGTGACTTTACCGAAAGACCGAAAGAATATGAATTCCTGCAGTCAAGAAAGCTTTAAGTCAAGATTGTGGCAAGCGTTTTGCGTGCAATGAGTGCGACCTCATAATTATTGTATTGTTATACACGTTTTCCATTGGGGGGCCATTGCTATAGACGCATGTGTTGTTATCTGTGCTGTTCAATTCCGAATTAGTAATCAGTCGAGGCGTCTTGGGGTTAGAAGCTCCAAAAGTGGAAAAGTGAAAATCTCATCAGAGGCTCCAGCTTCGTTGAGATGCATTCTCAGTTTTCCTGCCAGAAAATATCTCACAAAAAGCCAGCCGGATCAAACGTCGATATCAAACTGGCATTACTATGATGAACATCTGTGAAAAAGAGCTTTAAAGCTCATCGGATTTCTCCTGCAGTATAAATAAATATTCAGGTTCTAAAGTTTACTTTTTGTTCAACCCGCAGGTTGTGTGTGTGAAGTACTCAAGAGCTCGGCAAACAAAAGCAACGAGAAATGTGAGCCCTGTGTCCCTGCCGGGATCTCCCGCACGCGCACACGAACCACGTTGAGGCATTTGCGCTCATCTCCCGTGCACAGCCCTTCAGAGCCACTGGTGGAAATTCCACATTCCCATGGCTTACGGTCAGACAACACCTGTTGATAACCCCTACAAAGTGGAACTTGTTTTGTTTACGTGGTATGCTGGAGATCATGCATGCGTAAAAACAAACGTTTACAACTCTCCGTCAGTCCACTGCTGGATGGAGGCCTCCCTATTTAATCAGCGGTTATTTGAGCTAAGGGGGCGTACATAAATGACGTCACGCGATTTTGGACGATTTTTGACCCCCCCACCCCTCGTCACACGGCGTCACAAAAAAGTCAGCCTCCTCCCCCTCAAATGTGACGTCACAAAGCTCTGCCCCCCCCCCCCCCCAAATAAAACATGCTTCAAATCGATTTCAAGCTTTCGTGACTGCAAGGATTCATCTTCTTTGGTTCTTTCGGTAAAGTCACGTAGAATGAGAATAAAAGAATAAATTGATAAAATAAAATAACACAATAATATTCTCATGACGTTTCGGCCACAACACAAGCGACTTTACCGAAATAACCAAAGAAGATGCTTCAAATCGCTTTCAACTATTGTCATTGTAGTGCGTATTTAATGTGGCGCTGCACTCTGATGTTGTAGGAGAAAACATTCATTAAAAAGTCTATTGAATTAAGTAGAACGTGTTGTCTATATTTATTTAAAGTTGCGCATTTTGATGCGACGTCACATTTCTCAACCCCCCCCCCCCTCGTCACACATCGTCACAATTGTCTGACCCCCCCCCCCAGGTGCGTGACGTCATTTATGGGCGGCCCCATAGTTCACCCCCCCCCCCCCCCCCCCCCCAGGGCAGTGCGGTTTGAAGAGGGAGGTGCGGGAGGGGACGTGGCCAATTCCCACATCACCCCGCCACTGGTGTTGCGCGAGTTCATGGGGCAGTGCCCTAACCAGTGCGCCACCGCTCCTTGTACCGCAATAACGCATCGGAAATAATCGATGTCTTTATTGGCCGGGCGAGACCAACGGGGACGGACGAGACCAACGGGGACGGGCGAGACCAACGGGGACGGGCGAGACCAACGGGAACGAGCGAGACCAACTAGACGGGCGAGACCAACGGGGACGGGCGAGACCAACGGGGACAGGCGAGACCAACTAGACGGGCGAGACCAACGGGGACGGGCGAGCCCAACTGGCACGTGTTGGGGGGGGGGATTGGCGAATGACGGAGACGAAGGTCGCAACTTGAGTGAGGCGAACGCGGAGCAGGGCGTAGCAGCAAGGAGAGGAGGGGGATAACTGGTGAGAGGCGGCGAGGGGATGACAGAGGGGTCCTGAGGGAGAGCGACAGAGTCGGGGACATTCCACATTCGTATGGCGGGCGGGTGAGGAGGGGTGAGCGGTGAGCGCGGCTGCGATGTGGGAAAGAGGCTCGCCGACATCTCCTGGCCCACGTTCGTCTGCGGTTGGCGACGTGGGGGTCACGGGGGAGCTGGCGGGGGTCACGGGGACCTGGGGTGGCTCAGGGGACGCGGCTGTGGCCGCAGAGGCCCTGACGAGCGGAGCTCGGGGAACCGAGGGCCGGAGAGGCCCTGCCTGAGGCGCTAGGCGAGACGCAGGCTTTCCGGCCTAGGGCTTGACCTTTGCCGCAGCGAGCGAATCCGCGTGGCGTGTGTGGCGTGTGTGTGTGGTGTCCGTGTGTGGTGTGTGTGGTGTTCGTGTGTGGTGTGTGTGGTGTTCGTGTGGCGTGTGTGGTGTGTGTGGTGTTCGTGTGGCGTGTGTGTGTGTGGTGTTCGTGTGGCGTGTGTGGTGTCCGTGTGGCGTGTGTGGTGTGTGTGTGTGGTGTCCGTGTGGTGTGTGTGTGGTGTGGTGTGTGGTGTCCGTGTGGCGTGTGTGGTGTTCGTGTGGCGTGTGTGGTGTGGCGTCCGTGTGGCGTGTGTGGTGTGGCGTGTGCGGTGTGGCGTGTGCGGTGTCCGTGTGGTGTGCGTGTGTGGTGTGTGTGGTGGTGTGCCTGGATGGTGTTATGTGTGGTGTGCGTTGTGTGCTGTGTGGTGTGCGTGGTGTGCCTGTGTGGTGTGCTTGGTGTGTGTGGTGTGCGTGGTGTGTTGTGTGGTGTGCGTGGTGTGGTGTGTCTGTGTGGTGTGTGTGGTGTGCCGGTGTGGTGTGCTGTGTGGTGTGCCTGTGTGTGGTGTGCTGTGTGTGTGGTGTGCTGTGTGTGTGGTGTGCTGTGTGTGTGGTGTGCCTGTGTGGTGTGCTGTGTGTGTGTGGTGTGCTGTGTGTGTGTGGTGTGCTGTGTGTGTGGTGTGCCAGTGTGGTGTGCTGTGTGTGTGGTGTGCTGTGTGTGGTGTGCCTGTGTGGTGTGCTGTGTGTGTGGTGTGCCTGTGTGGTGTGCGTGGTTTGTGTGTGCTTGGTGGTGTGTGGTGTGCGTGTGTGCTTGTATGGTGTGTGTGGTCTGTGTGGTGTCCGTGGTGTGTGTGTGTGGTGTACTGTGTGTGTGCTGTGTGTGTGGTGTGTGTGGTGTGCTGTGTGGTGTGTGCTCTGCTGTGTGGTGTGTGTGTGCTGTGTGTGTGGTGTGTGTGTGGTGTGCTGTGTGTGCTGTGTTTGTGTGGTGTGCTGTGTGTGTGTGGTGTGCTGTGTGTGTGGTGTGGTGTTCTGTATGGTGTGGTGTGTGTGTGGTGTTCTGTATGGTGTGGTGTGTGTGTGGTGGGCTGTGTGTGTGTGGTGTGCCTGTGTGGTGTGCTGTGTGTGTGGTGTGCTGTGTGTGTGGTGTGCCTGTGTGGTGTGCCTGTGTGGTGTGCTGTGTGGTGTGCTGTGTGTGTGGTGTGCTGTGTGTGTGGTGTGCCTGTGTGTGGTGTGCTGTGTGTGTGGTGTGCTGTGTGTGGTGTGCCTGTGTGGTGTGCTGTGTGTGTGGTGTGCTGTGTGTGTGTGGTGTGCCTGTGTGGTGTGCTGTGTGTGTGTGGTGTGCCTGTGTGGTGTGCGTGGTTTGTGTGTGCTTGGTGGTGTGTGGTGTGCGTGTGTGCCTGTATGGTGTGTGTGGTCTGTGTGGTGTCCGTGGTGTGTGTGGTGTGTGTGTGTGTGCTGTGTGGTGTGTGTGTGGTGTGTGTGGTGTGCCTGTGTGTGGTGTGCTGTGTGTGTGGTGTGCTGTGTGGTGTGTGCTGTGCTGTGTGTGTGGTGTGTGTGTGCGGTGTGCTGTGTGTGGTGTGCTGTGTGTGCTGTGTTTGTGTGGTGTGCTGTGTGTGTGTGGTGTGCTGTGTGGTGTGTGCTGTGCTGTGTGGTGTGTGTGCTGTGTGTGTGTGTGTGGTGGGCTGTGTGGTTGGTGTGCCTGTGTGGTGTGCTGTGTGTGTGTGGTGTGCCTGTGTGGTGTGCTGTGTGGTGTGCTGTGTGGTGTGCTGTGTGGTGTGCTGTGTGGTGTGCCTGTGTGGTGTGCCTGTGGTGTGCTGTGTGGTGTGTGTGTTGTGTCCGCGTGTCGTGGGGAGCCGTGCAGCAGTGACTCGCGCACTGTGCTACACACCTGGCTATCCGAGTTCGATTCCTGTTCACGGCCAGTGGCGAATTTCGCAACCGGTCCTGGGTCTCCAGTAGGTCGGCTCAGCCTTAAATAAGTACATGGGGCGATGTGTAAACATCGCCACAAGGGATACGTGTGCTGTGTTGTCCTTCATAGGTGCTCTTTGCCCAAACACTGTAGTCTGTTACGACTAATCTGGAGATCGGCTGTTGTGTACGTGTGATCTGTGCATGTTGTGTGTACTGTGTATGTATGTTCTCTATGTTAAGTGGCTATATATGTTGTGTGTGTGTTTGTTTATGTTCAATGTGTCGTTTTCAAGTGTTGCCTTTGTTGTGTGCTGTGTGTCGTCGTGTGCTGTCTATTTTGTGTCTATACTGTGTATTTCCTTTGCACTCTATTATATGTGTTGTATGTGTCAATATGTTGTCTGTATTTATATCTTCGTGTGTGCAGTGGAGCCCTTTGAAGGAACAGGCTGGGCCTGTCTACGATCCATCGTGGGTTTAAGCAGAATGGATTGTGTGAGGAGCTCGTAGTTCTTTGAAAGTTCTGGAAAGAGACCCATCCTCAGTGAGCTCTTACTCACGCAAAGGAAGCTTGCGATGGCTGGGTCATGTTGCCTGCGTGCCCAGCCACCGCATGCCCATGCAGCTTCTGTTTGGCCGGATAGAGGGAGCTAAATCGGCGCCGATTGGACAAGAGTAGAGGTGGGCTGATGCGGTACAGGAGGATGTGGAGCTGATTGAATTTGACGATGACCGGTACCAGTGGTGTCTAAGATCAGCCTCTGCGGAGGAGCCTTGTAAAAGACGCGATTGGGCAGTCGGAGGCAGTTGCCCCTCCCAACAACAACGAACGGCAGAGGAGCGACGCTCACAACAACGAGCGGAGGAGTGCCGGGCAGCTAAAACGCATCAGGTTGGCACAGTGTGCATGTCTCAGTCAACCCGTAACACCAGAGTCTCTCTCATGACCTCCTGCCAACGAGCCTGAGATAATTCACTTGACCTCATGGTGTACCTAGCCTGGCACGAGCACCGCGATGACGTCACGGTTGGCTACGTACAGTTGTGAAATAAATTCAACATACGTACTCACTGGCGAATGGTGGTTGTTGTGTGTGCAGTGGAAATGCGTGCTCTGCATCTCGTACGTGAGAACTGGCCGCTGATGTTGGTGCCTCTGGGCTTCGTGATCGGATGGCGCCTCGACCGACACTTTGACTCCACCATGGTCGACTACCGCAACAAGAGCAAGTTGTTCGCGAGGTGGAGCCCACGCAGCCGGCACGGGGTCACTCGCTGTGACCACGCAGCACACAGCTTCTCGATCACACGCCGTAATGTACAATACAGGGTCACTCGCTGTCACCACTCGGCACTGTGCCCTGTGAGGACAGAGTCACTCGCCACTCGGCACCGCGCACTGAGGGACGGGGTCACTCACCACGTGGTACTGCGCACTGAGGGACGGGGTCACTCACCACGTGGTACTGCACACTGAGGGACGGGGTCACCACGCGACACTGAGGGACGGGGTCACTCACCACGCGACATTGAGGGACGGGGTCACTCACCACTCGACACCGCACACTGAGGGACGGGGTCACTCACCACGTGGCACTGCACACTGAGGGACGGGGTCACTCACCACTGCACACTGAGGGACGGGGTCACTCACCACTCGGCACTGTACACTGAGGGACGGGGTCACTCACCACGTGGCACTGCACACTGAGGGACGGGGTCACTCACCACGCGACACTGAGGGACGGGGTCACTCACCACTCGACACCGCACACTGAGGGACGGGGTCACTCACCACGTGGCACTGCACACTGAGGGACGGGGTCACTCACCACTCGGCACTGAGGGACGGGGTCACTCACCACGTGGCACTGCACACTGAGGGACGGGGTCACTCACCACTCGGCACCGCACACTGAGGGACGGGGTCACTCACCACTCGGCACCGCACACTGAGGGACGGGGTCACTCACCACTCGGCACCGCACACTGAGGGACGGGGTCACTCACCACTTGGCACTTCACACTGAGGGACGGGGTCACTCACCACGCGGCACCGCGCACTGAGGGACGGGGTCACTCACCACTCGGCACTTCACACTGAGGGACGGGGTCACTCACCACTTGGCACTTCACACTGAGGGACGGGGTCACCACTTCACACTGAGGGACGGGGTCACTCACCACGCGGCACTGTACACTGAGGGACGGGGTCACTCACCACTCACCACCACACACTGAGAGACGGGGTCACTCACCACTCGGCACTGCGAAATGAGGGACGGGGTCACTCACCACGCGGCACTGTACACTGAGGGACGGGGTCACTCACCACTCGACACTGAGGGACGGAGTCACTCACCACTCGGCGACTAGTCGTCCACAGGGGCGGCCGTTAAGAGGTGTTCTACCAAAGTGATTACCATTTGTAGTAACTTGGCCCCCATCGCATGAGTGGGGTCTAACCCATCACTGGCTGACGGCCGTAAACAGGAGGTGAGCACTGCTCCGAGCCTGTGTCAGCGGGAAGCCGCTCTGACGCGTGAGTTTTTATTCACGCTCCCCTCGCGAGGGTGCCTGGGTCAATTCCATTTTGCAAGCGGGAGGCAAAACGAGAGTAATCATTGACCCCGGAATGTGGATATAAATCACTCCCTGACCCGGACTCAAACTCGCAGTTATACAAGTCAACTGCCTTGTCCATCACGTCACATGGATGTCACGTAGATTCGCGTTGAGAATAGGCGCGGGTGTGTACGTGCACGTGCGTGCGTGTGTGCGTGCGTGTGTGCGTGCGTGTGTACGTGCGTGTGTGCGTGCGTGTGTGTGTGCGTGCGTGTGTACGTGCGTGTGTGCGTGCGTGCGTGCGTGTGTGCGTGCGTGTGTGCGTGCGTGCGTGTGTGCGTGCGTGTGTGCGTGCGTGTGTACGTGTGTACGTGCGTGTGTACGTGCGTGTGTGCGTGCGTGTGTGCGTGCGTGTGTACGTGTGTGCGTGCGTGTGTGCGTGCGTGTGTGCGTGCGTGTGTGCGTGCGTGTGTGCGTGTGTGCTTGCGTTTGTGTGCCTCGGGTATCTGGTGCGCCGTGTAAAAACGTCGCCACTGGGGAGACAAAGGTGGTCGGGCGTGGTGCTGGCTACCCACACCCGCTAACAGCACTTTCCCCAACAGTCTGTTAAGGCTACAACGGGTTGACCTTTGTCTCGTGTGTGTGTGCGTGTTCCTTCCTTCCAGGGAACTCAAACCCGGGGAGACGGTGACCTGGAAGTGAGGGGTTGGCTCCCCGTGACGCCCCCGACCCTTGCCCCGAACCTTCACCTGGAAGCCACCCACACTGAGATGTCAGCCCCTCGTGTGAACTTTGAATTGTTTCGTTTGTCCTTATGCGAGTCGGGTCTTAATAAACGGCCTGGCTGATGCTGTCTGTTGCCCCGGGCTGGTACCTGGTAGGAGGGAGGCTGGGTGGGTTCACAGTGCACAATGTGATGATTCACAGTGATTCACAGTGCTCAATATGATGATTCACAGTGATTCACACCACAATATGATGATTCACGGTGATTCACAGTGCAATATGATGATTCGCAGAGATTCACAGTGCAATATGATGATTCACAGTGATTCACAGTGCACAATATGATGGTTCACAGTGATTCACAGTGCACAATATGATTCATGGTGATTCACAGTGATTCACAGTGCAATATGATGATTCACAGAGATTCACAGTGCAATATGATGATTCACAGTGATTCACAGTGCACAATATGATTCATGGTGATTCACAGTGATTCACAGCGCAATATGATGATTCACAGTGCAATATGATGATTCACAGAGATTCACAGTGCAATATAATGATTCACAGTGATTCACAGTGCAATATGATGATTCACAGTGATTCACAGTGCAATATGATGATTCACAGTGATTCACAGTGCAATATGATGATTCACAGTGATTCACAGTGCCCAATATGATGATTCACAGTGATTCACAGTGTGCAATATGATTCACGGTGATTCACAGTGCAATATGATTCACAGTGATTCACAGTGCAATATGATTCACAGTGATTCACAGTGCACACTATGATGATTCACAGTGATTCACAGTGCAATATGATGGTTCACAGTGATTCACAGTGCAATATGATGATTCACAGTGATTCACAGTGATTCACAGTGCGCAATGTGATGATTCAGAGTGATTCACAGCGCAATATGATGATTCACAGTGATTCACAGAGCAATATGATGATTCACAGTGATTCACAGTGCAATATGATGATTCACAGTGCTCAAAATGATGATTCACAGTGATTCACAGTGCAATATGATGATTCACAGTGATTCACAGTGCACAATATAATAATTCACAGTGATTCACAGTGCTCAATATGTTTCACAGTGATTCACAGTGATTCACAGTGCAATATGATGATTCACAGTGTACAATATGATTCACAGTGATTCACAGTGCAATATGATGATTCACTGATTCACAGTGCAATATGATGATTCACAGTTATTCACAGTGCACAATATAATAATTCACTGATTCACAGTGCTCAATATGTTTCACAGTGATTCACAGTGTAATATGATGATTCACAGTGATTCACAGTGCAATATGATGATTCACAGTGCACAATATGGTTCACAGTGATTCACAGCGCAATATGGTGAGTCACAGTGATTCACAGTGCAATATGATAATTCACAGTGCACAATATGATGATTCACAGTGCAATATGATGATTCACAGTGATTCACAGTGATTCACAGTGCACAATATAATAATTCACAGTGATTCACAGTGTGCAATATGATGATTCACAGTGATTCACAGTGCAATATGATGATTCACAGTGATTCACAGTGTACAATATGATGATTCACAGTGATTCACAGTGCAGTATGATGATTCACAGTGATTCACAGTGCAATATGATAATTCACAGTGATTCACATTGCGCAATATGATGATTCACAGTGATTTACAGTGCAATATGATGATTCACAGTGATTCACAGTGGTCAAAATGATGATTCACAGTGATTCACAGTGCAATATGATGATTCACAGTGATTCACAGCGGAATATGATGATTCACAGTGATTCACAGTGCTCAAAATGATGATTCACAGTGATCCACAGTGCAATATGATGATTCGCAGTGCTCAAAATGATGATTCACGGTGATTTCCAGTGCAATATGATGATTCACAGTGATTCACAGTGCTCAAAATGATGATTCACAGTGATTCACAGTGCAATATGATGATTCACTGCGCAATGTGATGATTCACAGTGATTCACAGTGCAATATGATGACTCAGTGATTCACAGTGCACAATATGATGATTCGTGTTTTGGGGTTCCCCGACTCTATGTAAAATTCTCCTCCTGCTGCTGCTGCTGCACGTTGCTCCATGAGGGGGCGCTGAGAGGCGAGGTGACACCGCTCGGGACCCACGGCCACGCGGAGCCGCCGTGCGCACGCAGAGCCGAGCGAGAGCCGAGGGGCGGCGCGCGAGGCCACCGAGGCGCCGAGATGGGAGGCAGAGGCCGGGGAGAGAGACGGGGAGAGAGAGAGGGATACAGAGGCACGCAGAGACTCGGTCGTCATAGGCTCACTGACATGGGGACGCGCGGAGGTACCACTGGAGACATGGAGACGCCTTTAGACACGAAACAGTGCACACGGGAGACCAGGAGAGGGACACGTGTGACACGCGTTTGCCGTTGTGGTAATCCTCAGGAAGTCCATAATAGAGGGGGTTTTTTTGGGGGGGGGGGGGGGTGGAGGGGGGTTAGGATCGCATAAATATAAGTGTGTTGTTAAAACCCACCACCACCCGACAGCCTATTAGGTTTAGTCACGTAAACAAAGACGTGCCCATTAGGTACTAGTTCACACCGGTGATGTGTTGGAGAGTAAACCCACTGCAACATTTACAATTCAACTGCCGTTGTGTTTCACCGGTAATTTGAACAAACGACAAACAGCCTCATCAGGCGACAGCCAGAGTTAAGGAGAAATCCTCCTCCTGTTTCGGTCTTAAGTTGAGCGGATAAATTAGATGTCATCACTTGTGAGCCAATCAGGCGCCAAGACCGGTGTGTTGGAGAGGAAACCCACAAACATTTACACATCCACAGCGTGTGGATTTACTCTCCAACACACCGGTGGGCTGAAGTAGTAACTTAGTGACGCGTTGTTTACGTGACAAACCTTGCTGGCCGTGTCGGGTGGTGGAGGGTTACGACACATTTATACTCGTGCGATCTAACCGCAAAACCTTTAACAAGAATAATATTGGTCGCGAAAGCCTACGTGTTAAACGGAGTGGTTCTTCATCATTAAGACCTCCTTTGCCAGTACCAAAATGTAATAATAGGGTTTTCCCCTTTTTTCTGGCAAAAAAACTGAAACCTTTTTACAAGGATTCATGTCTGCATTAACCACAATACTTGCAGTGAGAATGCAAACAAAAAAAACATCCTATGATAATATGATGCATTGTCCTTGAAACTGATTGGTCAACACCAAGGGACGGCTTTATTTTGAGCCTCGACCCAATTGGTGCTCGATCATAGTATGGTTTTTGTTTGCATTTTGACTGCAAGTACTGGTTAATGCAGACATGAATCCTCGTAAAAAGGTTTCAGTTTTGTTGGCAGAATAAATGGGAAACCCCTATTATTATTGAGTGGTTCTTCTTAATAAAATAATGAAGGTATAATACGAGGAATGGAAGACGATGGCCCTCGTGCTTGTGTGGGCTCACCACCCTATCAACTAAGCTGAGCGATAGTGTTGGTGGTGGTGGTGACTTACACCCTCACTGAAGATGAACACCAGTGCAGGAACGCAGGCAAGGTAACCAGACGTCTTATGACGCCCTCTTCCACGTGTTGGCTACATGGGCCTGTTGCATCCCGAGACACTGTATTGGGTGGCTTTATTGCCCAATTGGGTGATGATGCACGCACTCGGGCAGGGATATTTGCAAGGCGTATGCAACATCGGCTCAATAATGGCGAGAGGCTGCTAGACTTCTGTTCAAGCCACGAATGTGATGACCAACGGTTTCCCTCATTGGTGCATCCACACAACATGGGTGCATGCTGGGGTTCAAGCAAGAGAGATCTAGACTATCGTGGCAAAACTTAATGCCTAACCCATGCTCTTGAAGCCGTGAATTACCAATCTGTTCTCTGACCATCGGCTTGTCGTCTGTAAGATGCACCTGCCGTTCTTCTAATGTTGGCGTTATAAGTCCACCTAGGACCCCATTCAAACCCAAAATAGCGTGTTGAACATTTGCAAGCATTTATTTATTTGGTTGACCAGCACTTGCACCCCGATGGCAAGGGGAAATCGGTGAGGTCCACGGCTGCCGCTCACGCAGCGGCTGTGACCTCACGGGTTACCCAGTCCAGGAATTCCGCAGAATACCCTGGCCGACGGAGGAGATGCTCCCTCTGCTTGAGAGAGAACGCATCGGACAGATTTATCATCGCCGCTCGCAATACGCCACGGCCGAAAACGAGGCCGCTGCCTCCGCTCAAAGAGATTCGGAGAGACACTCGGTGCTGCTGCTGCTGCTGATAGCCAGTGCCGGATTATTCTAGTAGCACAAGTGGCTAATATGCTGTGGGCCCCGCACTTTCAAGGGCCCCGCGCTAAATGCTTGCTAGCTATCAATTCCGGTTCAGTGATTGTGCACTTGCTCTATTACTATAGTACTCTACTGCCTTCAACTTTTACGAACGACTGGATGTTTAAGGTTAGCGATTTGTCGTATTATCTGGCTGTGTAGCAAATGAAAAAAAAAACTGCTAGGCAAGTAAAAAAATGTGTTTTTTAATATTTCTGGTTTTTTTTTAGGGCCCCTTTAATAACATAAAGCTACAGGCCCCGCACTCGCTTCATCCGGCACTGGCTGATACTGCTGCTGCATGTGCGTGTGTCCGTGAGCGTGTAGCCGTGCGTATCGGTGCGCGTGAGAAACCCAGCCACAGCCACCACCACCCCCCCCTGCTCACCCTGGCGCGACACAACCTTCACCGACTCATCCATTCTCTCGCTCTCTCGTCGTTGTCGTCGTCGTCGCTATTCCTGGGAAATTATTTTTAGAGCCGCGCGGCTCCCGTCCTCATTGTTGACGCCGCGCGCGGCCGTTGGCAACGCGCGGTGTTTGTGTCTCGCTGTTTTGTGTTGCCACCGGTGAGAGATATCCCCCCTCCAACCCAACCCCCCATCACCACCATCACCACCGACCGGATGACCACGTGTACCCACCCCATAGCTCTCCCCTACCTGCCTACACTTTACCTCTCAGCACGCAACTCCCTTTTCCTCCAATTAACCCCCTCCGCCTCGCCGTGTCTCCACGCCTCGCCCCGTCTCTCC